GGCGCCTTGTTCCCGTGGCAGACGTCACAGGGCACGTCTTCACGGTCTGATAGCTGGTGTGCAGGGGGCTCTACGTCCTCCCCATGCATCAGTGTGGGTGACAGAGACCTTTTGAAGATAATGTTAAATATCATTGAATATATTCAAATATATCTGCCATCTGGAAGAGAACACAAAACGGTACAGGACAATAAATTCAAATTAAGGGACTCTGGTGTGCCAGAAACACAATGCATAGCCAGCTGGACATGGTGTAAACATGCACTGTATGTGACATTGCAGGTAATGGTCAATATATGTGGCATTTAAGGTAGAGTAAGGCTCTATAATCAAGTTAGGTTGGATATTAGCCAAATTAAGATATGTCGGTTTCCTTGTGAAAGTCTTTAATAGAGCTAACTTCTCGGCTAATGCTAACTAAATGGGCAGACAACGTGATTGGTCAGTTGATCCTGGATCTGCTTCCTACTCCACAGCCATGAAATCACACACAATTCAAGCAGTTTTAAGAAATGAATTCTAATTCAGCATCGTGAATGCAGGGACTGGTGTACACACATTTACTGTACGTCTCTCATTTTGTATATTATTATGACTATTTATTTATTTTTAACACCGTACATTACTGCCCTCACTTTTGTTGCACTTGTACAATGGCAATAAAGATACTGGGATTGGGACACAAAGAGTCTGGAAGTAAAACAGACCTTTTGAAGAATTCAATCATGTCGGAAAAAGCTCGGTTGATCCTCAGCTCCGGTCGCTCTTTGAACGTCTCTTTGCACAGCGGACACTCCGACTTGTCCTTCGTGTCCCAGTAGCCTTCGATGCAATCCAGGCAGAAGTTGTGTCCACACGGGATTGAGACGGGATCCGTGTAGGTGTCCAGGCAGATGCAGCACCGGAACTGATTCTCCAATTGTACCGAGGCCATGTTTGTTACTGGAAAATACCACAAAAAGAGTCAGTCCTGTCTGTCCTGTTTGCAGATGGTAGCTGGAGGCATAGTTCAAAAGTATATTTAACATCTTGACAGATCCTGGCAGCCTTTTTCTTTTTTTGTGTTGCGGTTGATTTGTTTTGAATCACGTGTCAAATATGTGACATCACATGTCTGCTCAAGATAATAGACTCCTGAAAACCTGAAGTCTGAAACTGCTGCTTTATCCATCCTTTCATTAAATTTAAAACATCCATTTTTGTTTTTGAGTCAAAAAGCAACGAAAGCTCGCAGTTACAGAGCAATAAAAAGTCCCAACACAGACTCTGCAAACTACAGCTGAACCTCATTTAATGGTGTTAACTGAGCTGTGATCATGTAACGTCTGGTTCTGTTTCTACAAGCCAAAAAAGCTGCAGAATGGATTTTAAGATCATCATTGAAGACGTCTAGAGGGGATCTAAATCTGACTATTTGTTTCCAACAAATATTCCAACACGTTGCACCAGCAAAAAATCAAGACAAAGTGCACTTTTGCAAATACTCAGTGTGAATACTGCAATAAAAGTGTGTCATGTTACAGAGGCTGACACCACTTACACTTAACAGACTAGTTTGTTTCCACTTTTAGCACAATATGTCGCTTTGAATCAAACTTTGCAAATCGTCTCTTTTTCAGGACAGGTTCAGTCGTTTTAAGCTCCCTGTGCTGATTGTCCGACTTCTTACTGCTCATTATTCCAAGACACCACAGAGGGATCACCCATCCAGCACAATTATTTTTTATATTTACCAATGAGTATAAAATACTGAAACTCAGACAGATTGTTGTAGATTCCTGTTTCCCACACCAGAAAACTGACCTTAAAAACCTAAATGCGACTGATTAAGTAGCTCATTTTTGTTGTGTTGTTTTAAAACATGTTTCTAACCATTCATGCCATTTACTATAACTCAGTAACTACATTTTTGAGTAAAAGTAATCTGATACATTTAAAGAAAAGCCTCAACTTGGTATACATTGTTTCCTCTCACAGTTTACAGTTTCATCTTCCAGTTTCTGCAGTGTAATAATAATAA